GTTTCAGGCTGCTTCTGCAATGAATTTTCTTGTGAGAGTCTACTTTGCCGACTGTTGGGTCTAGTATTTTCCTGGTTTTCTTGCGGATCTAGCCTACTTTCTTCATGGCTTCCTTCAAGAAGAGTTGGATACAAATTATCTTCCTTAAAGTCTGTGTAATGCTTTAGTCTGTTGAGTTTCAAACTCTGTAGCCTCGAAGAATTCATAACACTACTTCAGAGAATGGATGTGTGCAGTCCACTCCCTAAACTCCGACTTGATCCTTGGCGAATGAAGTGCTTCCCTCCACTTCCTATTGCTTGCCGTTCTCCATTCTGGTTATTTTCATTATCTGTGTTTGGGGTGGAAGTTTTCTGCTGGCCACAAATACTCATGTTTAGCATCAGATCCTCCACAGAGTCCGCTCTCTTCAAAACTGCCGGATCATAGCTCTCCATCATGACTCTTAAAACGCCGTGACTACTCCACCTACGTAGAATTTGATGACGAGTACGTTATATTATATCTCCCCACTCCAAGTATGATTCTGCAAAGAGGTTGCTGTACAGCTTCATATATTAGTGAACCCAGGCCGCAGTGTCGTAAAGTAACAAAATTCGATATTGAGTATCAAAGTCTAGAAAATAAATATTGAAAAAAAGAAAAATCAAAAGCCTAACATTAGTTTATGCAGCGTTTTCAAGACTACTCTTAAATATGCAATTACTACTAGCGAGAGAAGAGAGCGCTTGTGTGACAAAAACTTATTTCTCAATAAATTCTTAATAGTACTAACTATACTTTGCACAAAATAAAAATATTTATATTTTTCCTTATGTTGGTAATTTTGAAAATTAAATTGGGAAAGAAAAGTAAATCTTATAGTTAACAGAATTTACCATAATACTGGAAGAAAACACACTTAAATATTAGATTTACACAAATCTTGGGCTCTTAGCAATCCTAGAAAATTCTCTTACTACATAATCGCTACTTCCATGGAACCACTTACACAGGAACAAGTGCATAAGGAACACGTAACACAATATGATGATACACATATGCTATGCTTTAAACAAAATAAAGTGCTTAAACATCATTGGGTCATATAGCAATATGTAAGTATTGAGGTGAAACGGCCGTTTAAATGAGTTCATCATTTGAGACAAGTATGTCTTACATTAATGTGAGAGCATATGATATAGCGCAGTAAATGGTAAAAGGGTGGACGTCGCGCCGCGATCAACCGGGAGATCTCTCGTATTGCGGGAACGTTTGATGTCATACCTCATAGATTATGCACTTGCTGAAGAAGCAATAGGATTAAGATAAAACCGTAATTAGATCAATGGAGTTACCCAGACGCCCTCCCGCGGGATCTAAGGGCCAACTAAGCGAAATTGGAAGTTTATGATTCTTTCGTACCAGCCAGGCCAATCACAAGATCTAATTGTTAGAATGAAATTTTTAACGGAGTGTTCGACGAAAGCAACCACGGTGGGCCATTCCATGCCAAGGCATCTCAGTACACAGGTGGTGTTATAATATATATTTTTTTCTTCCCTTCTTCTTTTTATACCTTTTTATACTTTTCCCTTTATTCATATACATGAAGTCTTATGATCTCCGAAAGACTGACCCGTCTTTCGACGATCAAAGACTTCACTTATAATGAATAAAACAACGTATATTCGAGTCCAAAACTTTCATTAAATGAATATAACAAAGTCATAAAAAGGTATCAAAAAGCCAAGAAAGGAGAAAAACAACATATAGTAACCCACTTTGTGTACTACATAACTATCTGCCTGTTCACAGCGGGGATCCCAACAACTGGCGTGCTACTCAGAATAAAACTCGCTTTTTATTCTGACACAGAATAAACAATTTCTGCTATTATACAGACTATTAGGATTATAGGCGCAAATTAGTATGATGCGTATTCATCTAAATGAGTGAAAGATAGTGTAGGATTGAGAAGAGATGAGACATGTTTACTTTTAAAGCAAAAAATAGCATATTTCAATTGTCCAAGCCGCGATCTCAATCAGGATGAGCAGATTTCAATTGTATGTGTAATCAAGAAACCGTATAGCCAATATTATATCGTAGGTGGCCATCTTGTACGTACCATCTCCGTATACGCTCCTTTCACAAACCATGACCATTACTCGCCTACCATTATCACAGAATTACATCCATCTCAATAATATTGCACGACACGATAATGTACCAGCATCTTCCAGCTTCATGGCAGTACCATACAGCACTACCTTCCAGCATCGTTACGACTAATCAATAAGCCACCCATCTCCGTAGTTACTCTATTATCAGAATCCATTACGCAGGATCCATCTCAGCTGCCATTCTACAGCAACTCATAATTCATCTCCATCTCCAGTACATGATA